GATAAACTCTATCATTCCTGAAGATGGCAGCTATCAACGTAAACTTCATTGTGACCCAACAGAGAAGATTTTTCTTATTAAAGTTTATTGAAAAAAATGACCTGGACATTGTTCTTCTCTCAGAGACCAAACTTACAGAGAAACATAAGCTCCTGTTCCCATCCCACGATATTGTACGCTCGAACAGAACCCAATCCAAGTTTGGTGGAGGCACGGCGATTGTGGTTAAGACAGACTTCAACTATAGACTCTATCCTCGAATGCACCATAGTAAAACTCACTTCTAAAATGAATAAGAAAATTTTCATCACCAGTGTCTATGCATCACAACGAAATAACAGGAAACAAGAGTTCATTGATGAACTGAACAAATTGTTCACATAATTGAATCTCGACCACCCAGATACTTATTATTTACTCGCCGGAGTCCTAACTGCCAGGCACACGACTTTAGGGGATAGGGAAAATAATGACAGAGGCAAATATTTGGTGTCTTGGGAGAGAAGTAATAGTTTCGAATTCAAAACAAGAATCTACCCACCAGCTGATCCCACCTTTATTTCAGCCCAAACTTTCCTGGACATCTGCATCGCAGATAGCACACTGCAACTTGAATACCTCCACAATAATAAATTAAAAACCCTCATGTACGACAGTGACCATAAAGCCCTTCTCATTCACCTGAACCTTGATAATCATACTGAGATTCAGCCCTCGAAGCTTTCAGCACCCACGTGTCTCTACAAGGCTACGAATTGGAAATACTTCAGCGACCATCTGAACAACTACGACCTTGAAATTCCAAAAAATAGAAATCTTACCAGAGAAGAAATTAATGAACACCTCAACAGTATCAACAGACTCATACTGAAATCTATTAATTCCACCGTCCCTAGACTTCAACTTGGCGATAACATACAGAAGTATGTGAACCGGATAATCTCTAGGCTCCATAAACACAAGTCTTTCCTTCTGAACACTGAATAACTGCCTCAAAACAGACCCAAGAGCAAAAGCTAAGCTGATACAAAATGTGAAGAGCCTTCTGACAGTTGTCAGAGAACAACTTCGCACCGAGTTCTCGAAGGCCGTAGAAAAACCCTGGGTGAAAATCTTCAAAAAAATCAACTACCATGACTCTGAAAATTTCATGCCAACCGTCAATAGAATTTTCAGACCTAGAAGTAATAGAGGTCTCGCTGACATGCACCTTCAAGATGATCAACTGGAGTTGCTGAACAGGGCGGAGTGTGACCTCGATAAAACTCCCGAAGACGGTAATAAATTTATTTTCTCGGAACCAGTATCAAAACTTAATATACTAGGAGCATACTACGAGGCAATAAACTCCCCCAGGCACCTCAACACAGGGACCAGGCTCAGGGAACTTGTGGATAACAAAGTAAACTACTTCAAACAGAAATTTGAGGACGACAGAAGTAATAAGACAACTGGAGATTCTCTTGATGACCACTACTTCACCAACCCTGCCCAGGTAGCCCTCATCCTTAAGAACATGCCCAATAAGACCTCCAGTGGAATAGACAAAATCCCCGCAGTTATACTAAAACATTTTCCTGAAAGAGTGCTGATCGACTACACTAGTCTATTCAACAACTCACTGAATCTGAAATTGTTCCCTGAATTATGGAAACAATCCCAGATCATACCAATTCATAAGAAAGACAAACCCCTGACCGAACCTTCAAACTACAGGCCCATTAATATGACGCCAAATATCAGCAAAGTGTACGAGTCGATCATCAACAACATCATCATGAAGCACTGCAGGAATGAAAAAATCATCCCTGATAATGAATTTTGCTTTAAGCACAATCACTCTACCACACATGCCATCAATAAATTCTTATCTGACGACAACAGGGAACTGAGTAAGCGAAACTTAATTGGCGCAACTCTGATTGATCTAGAGAAGGCCTTCGACTCTGTTTGGCTCGATGGCGTTCTCTATATTCTCATGAAGAAAAAATTCCCAACTCACATCGTCCAGTTGATTTGGGACATGATCACAGGTAAATCGTTCTGTGTGGGTGATGGGGCGCATTGCTCTTCAATCCAGTTCAGTATTCAGGAAGGACTATAACAGGGAACAGTAAACTCCCCCTGCCTCTTTAACATATACATCAGTGATATCTTGAACGCCTTCAACGTCAATACCTCAGGTCATACACACTCCATACGCAGACGATCTCATTGTCTATGTTGCTGGGAAAGAGCCAATCAAAATCCAGGACGAACTTCAGACTCTTGTCAACAAGATAAATAATTATTACTCAATCTGAAACCTCAGGATGAGCCCGCTGAAATGTGAATCCATCCTGATTAGGAATCCTTGGAAAAATCTGGAGAGACCAGGTCAACGTGGAAGAATTTTTCCATCACAACACATAAGCCAGATTCCAGAGAGCCCATCATTCACACAAAAACAATAGTTCGTTACCTGGGAATGCACGTAGACCATCTTGCCCGATGCACCAAGCACATCGACCTCCAACTACTGAAAGCTCGGAACCGATACAAATCACTCAGTCAATTGTTCCACAACAAAAACATCACGACGAGAGCCAAGGTGTTACCTTCAGCTAGTCAGACCACTTCTGACTTACGCGTGCCCTATCTGATGGAATTGGCACTTTCCAGGATGCATCAAATACTTCTCTCCTATACCATATTGGCAGACACCAAGCTAATAAAATAATCCCACTCCCACTGGACCCTTCTCAAACTTGTTTATATTCCAAAGAGATCCCCGAGAGGGATTTCCTGGCTGAGCTATTGGTGGCTGAATGACTTGGCTAAATATTAACCAGAGATTGCTCGGAGACTGGGGAATGAGGGCAAACCGCCCGAACGCCAGCAAGTAGCAGAGAGACGCAGGAGAGCTCCTCAACGATAGCCCCTGCGACGATGTCCCATATGGACTCCCTCAACTTTTTTTCTGTATATATGTACATAATTAGTCTTAGTTTAGTTTTAAATCACATCCAAAGATCCTGCTAGATAGGCTTTTTTACTTGGTCGTACTTTTTTTGCCTAATTGTTTCACGCTTCCGAAGCGACTTACTAGTTGACATTATGTCCCCTAGGGCCTTTGCCATTATTTTCTCATAAAAATCCCCAGTAATAACAAAAGAATCCTATTTTTTCAGTTCTCATATTAGAAGATTTGCGAGATGCTGCGTCGCAGCCATGTATTTTCAATTATATTTTCTTAAATTAGTCGAGTGTTCATTGGCTGAGTTTATTAATTCTCGTGTACTGTATTTGTTCCCATTTATTGACTAAATAAATAAACTCTTTAAATAAAAAAAAGCGTGGTTAGTACTTGGATGGGTGACGGCTTGGGAACACCACGTGCCGTTGGCTCTTTCTTTTTAATTTTTTCCTTTTCAGAATAGTTGATAGACAATAAAATATCACTGAGAAACAATTAAATTTTGCTAATTTCCATCTATTTCGCGCATTGTTGATCATTTGTTTTTAATCTTGAGAATTGATAAAAACGCTCAAATTTTATTCAGTCAATTGGTAAATTCAGCGTTTTAAAATCAATTGATCTTTCATTTCCCATATAACAATGACTTGACAATCTAAAAAGTTTTGCATCACAATATAAGTATATCCGCCATCGATGCTTTCTTTTCTTTCAATAGACAGATATTCAGAATCGGCTGAAGTCGGAGTAGAAACAATTCATCACGTTGTTTGAAACAGTAATATATGAAGTAATACCATAAATCGATTAGATTTGGGTTGAAGAGCTGTTGGCTTGTCTCTTTTGTGTCTGCTAACTTGCGAAGATAACTAATAGTACATTTGCAGTAGAGCATAATCATCTTCAAAAGGGGCAAGGGGAAGATGCCGTGGAATATAAGAATCGTCAAGGATGATTGAAAGCTTTTTCTTGTTGATACTTTATCAATTATGAAATGAGATTCTACGCAATACTCGCAATACGTGGCATCTGTCCTCATTAGTCACGTAAGTCTTGCATTGCCAATATTTCTCATTACAAAGTGTTATCATCATACGTATATCAGTAAGAATAAGATAACGAAACAACGTAAATTTCACTCTATCCTTTTTTAATATGTGCCTTTCTCTTTGAAAATTCTGAAACATTTCGTTCAAAATTTAATTGCGTTACTTTTTGTTAATGTATTATTCAACCGCAGTGAATTCCTATCTTTATTCAGTATTTGGCAGTTATGTTCAACTGGCCATAATTCATTTTCAAGCGCTTATTCGAGTTGAGCGTTTCTCAAAATTGTTATTGAAATAAATTAACTCTGACATCATGAATCAATGTGGACAATCATTTGAATAATCATGAAAAAATTGTTTTTTTCTAATGTGAAAATTTTGAAAAAAAAACTACCGATTATAATTAGACTGGTATCAAATAGAAGGGTTTATTGAATTCTAAATTCCATGAAAAGAAGAGATCGGTTTTGGTTTTCTGACGGGTTTTTAGCTAGTTATTCCCGGTCCTACTTAGACACCCGAATGGTTGACACCTTGTAAGAGACAAATAAGTTACGAACGAGTTGAGGTGCATAAGTTAATAATCGGGGAAACTCATTTGTGAACGACAATGATTGCCCCGATTATTTAGAATTGTTGCGTTTGGAACCTACAGGTTACGCATCAAATACAATCGATGAGTCACTAACCCGCAACTAACTCATAAGTTGCCGATACTCATTGGGCACCCCCGACAAATTTTCTACTCGTATTCGGAATTTTACTTTTTACAACAACTTTCCAATAGGAAAGATAAATGCCCCGATTGGGGAAATTTCTATACGGTATATTCTATACTTCTCCTTATACGACTTCATGAATGCACAGCGATTCCACATACCGGAAAATCTAATGGGTTTTCTTAACAAACTCTAGGTCGATTGTGGAAGGAGATCGACAAGTACCAATATTGGGGGAAGTAAATAAACGAGACTTCCAATCCGTTCTCGGTTTTTTCCAATTTAATGTTCCTCGAATTTGTGATACTGTTAATAATTGATAAATCTGTTTTACTATCTACAAAAAATTTAATTCATAATATACTCTATTTAATTGATATCATTAATCAGACCAGATCGTCTCCGAGGCTTAGGCACCGGTGGTTTAATCTTCTCATTCTCTACAACAAAAGTGGCATCACTCCTTACCGAACTCTGGCTCTCCACCCTCATTTCCTCTCGATTTTCATCAATTTCAACCACATAAGTTTCTCCACTGTCTCCACTACTCTCTCTTCGCTCCTCTTTATCCTGCCTTTCCTTATCAATCCTGTAATTTCCAGTATTCCAAGGCTCCCTGGTTCCCCTTATCCTCCCCCTGCAGTTCACAATGCCATCTGAAAATGCTCTTCCAACCTCCTCCTCGGAAGTTCTGAACGTAGTTTCTATCCTCGCACTCTTCGATTTACTTTTTTCAAAATTTTTTCTATTTAAACTCATCATCTCGAATATTTCACTCGATTTGGACTCACTAGAATTATCTTCAAATGTTGAAAATAAAGGAGGAACGTAGGGGATTACCCTAGAAACCTCCTCCATAGGAACACCCAACCTATTCGCTTCGACATCATAATTCGACTTTGAGCTATTTGACAAAATTCTATCAATCTTCGCAATAATATTTGTCAACCTATTAGCACTTTTAGTCTTCAGTTCTCCCTCAGTTTCATTGAATATCTTCAATCTCTTCCTCAAGTCCTCACGACTCCCATTACTCGTGTCCCTCGCATTTTCCGAAGATTCTGCTCTCATCACGTAATTCTTTTGAGATCTCAAAGTTTCCTCTGAGAATCTTCTACTAGAATTCAATTTATTCCCAATAACTGAACCAGATTTAACAGATAAATCACCATCCTCATTCAACATCTTCAATCCCACCCCCTCACCACCTGGGTTTTTATCGAACCTAAGGACAACAGCACCGGAAGGAGCGCCAAAAGTCGAATAAACAAGCACATGATCATAAGGGTGATAATCCACACAAGTGACTGGTAGATTCTTCGGTTGAGTATGATAAACAGCGACTTTCTTCCCGGATTCAACACTCCAGACATTCAGAACTCCGTCCTCACCTCCACACAGCAATAATCCTCCACATGGTGATATCCTCGCAGTTGTTTGGATTCTGAGACTCTTCAGCCCTTCATATTTCTGTAATACAACTCCAGTGGCTAGGTCCAACATCCTCAAACCATTATTTCTGGAATGTACCAGCAAACGAGAGCCCAACGGATGGAGCACAATTGTGTTGATGGGTACCCCCTCAACTTCTTTTATCTTGATCTTTCTGAAGATTCCCCAATCTTTATTCATCTTTTTTCGACTTTTACGAATTGCCCAATGGATGATGACTCCAATGCTATCAGCAGTTAGCAAAGATCCATTTTTCTGGAAGCACATGGAGTTGATGAAACCTTCGTGTCCCTCAAGTTCTTGCAAGAGTTCGTAGGATAATGAGGATCTTTCCCAGATTCGGACAAAGTGGTCGTAACAACCTGTTGCAATCATCTGAGAGTGCAAAGATGGATGGAATTTTCCGGAGTAGATGTAGGAGGGGTGAGGAAGCATGAAAATATGGTGGATTAGTCTGTTCTTGACGTCCCAGACTCTAGCAGTCTGGTCGGATGAGACCGAGAGGAGATAGTCATCGTTCTGAGACCAGTCTAGGGAGTAAACGAAGCTTTTGTGGCCGGTGAACCTGATGAAGATTTTCATTTCGTCGACTTTATGGATGATGATCGGGTAGTCGTACTCTTCGGAGTTGACGGAGGCCAGGTACATCCCATTGTTGCTGAAGAGGACGTAAAAGCTTCCGTTTTCCGCGATTTCAGTTTGGAAGTGGAAGTCGTTGGGAATTTTGCAAGATTGGGCAGCTAGGCGGCTCCATTTCGGGAGGTGGATGGGCTCCGGGGTGTGGGGAGATTTTTGAGGGAATGGAGGCGATGGCAGATCGTTGACGAGTTGTCCGTAGAAAACTGGCTCTAGTTTGGGTGGTGACACTGATGTTATAGTAGTGTAAAGGGAGCTGGGGTATTTTTCACGAGCTCCAGATTTCCACCAACTGAAGGCCTGATGAAAATCATGAGAAAATATTAGTAGGTACTTGCAAGAAATATAAATGCAATTGAAACAGTGGATTGTGAAATTCAGTGCCAAACATGTACTGAGTTTCAGTGAGAGAAGTCCTTAGAATTACCCAGAACCGTAGTACCGAAATCAAGAACCCTCGGTTCTCAAAATGTGAACCGTTGGGCACATTCAAATATTACGTCACGTAATTAAGGAGGCGAGGAGTTTATGTAATTTTTAACGTTTCGCGCGGAGGAAGGAGGGGGTTGCCGAGGTTGTGATATTACACCGTAATTAATGCAAACAATTTCCTCAATTCTGATTTTGAGCAATCAGAGTGCGTATTCGGGGTCACGTGACACGTTTTACACTGATAATTTTCCTAGCGCTGCGCGCTCGGGATTTTAATCTGCAAAATTGATCCCTCTCGTTGCTATGCAACAAAACATTCGGGAAATATCCGATAATTTCGAAAGTCCTGGGATATTATAGCTGATAATTTGAAGCAACAGGAATGTCAATTTACGAGCTCCAAGGTTTTGATTTTGGAACTTCAGAATTCTTAAGGATGTTCTACACCCTTTCTGCCAAAATTCACGTTTTTTTAATTTTTCTGGCAAACTTATGATGGAATTGACGTGAAAAAATATAACGTTTTTGCGTTTTGTCATTATTTAATGACTGACGAAATTTTAAGGTGGTGCGAACATTTTCCTGCGTTTTCTCTAAACTTTTAAAAAGAATCACAAAACTGTAGAAACAAGCAGGGGTAGAAGCCTACTTGATATAAGACGAATGATCGTTAATTTTTTTTTCTTATTATGCTTTTTTTTCTTTTTTTTTTCTACCAATTTCATTGATAGTAAGCTTCCGAAGGGAAACATATTAGAGATTAACAGATGAGAACCAAATTCGATAGTGAGCCATCAATTTTTTATTCTCAACTCGCATTTGTAAAATCATCATTTTCTCTTACTTTTCTTATCAATAAAAGTATGTTGTTCTATTCTGATTCAATTATTTCCTTTGATTTGTTTCCATTGGCAAGAAATATGAATTCCACTCAAACCAGATCTCCACATTGTCACTGAGAAAGAATGGTCCGATGAAATCCATACTATCGTCTAATTTTTTAAATAATGTCAGTATATTACCTCACCCTCGCTCAATGCAATGACCCATACTGTACAGGATGTTCAGAAGAAAATATTTAACCTTTTAATAAAATGGATTTATGCAAAAAAATTAATATCTCCTAAACCACTGTGCCGATGGCACTGATTTAAAGTACGGACCTTTGTTATTATAAGAGAGATATACATGTCAAATTTCAACTTCATATCGTTTTTTCGTCACAAGTTATCAACCGCACAAGAATGAGAAAACGAAAAAAAAGAAAAACGAGAATATCTCCAAAAGGTTGTATGGACGGGCATATATATTTTCAATGATCTAGGTAGTAGCAATCGAGACGGATATTTTGAAAAAAGAAAATTTTTAATTGGTCAAGTAGTTGACGAGATATTTGACAGAATAGATTTTCACAAAAAATTGAATATCTCGCGAACCACTCGACCGATTGACCTCATCGAAAATACGAACCGTCTATGTTACAAAAGCTAGCAGCATACCGAATTTCAAGTCGCTAGCTCGTTTTTTCATTGACTTATCGCGCGTACAGTGTTTTTTATGAAAAAACGGATAAACGGCAATATCTCCAAACTTTGCACAAATCGGTATATATGATATGAGTGATNTTCCAAACTTTGCACAAATCGGTATATTTGATATGAGTGATCTAGATAGAGGCCATCGAGATATGTAGTTCGAAAAAAAATTGAAATCGGTGCAGTTGTTGGCGAGATATTGCAGAAAAACGAAATTTAAACAAGTGATTATATCTCAGGAACTACTTCACCGATCGAGCTGAAACGAAGCACCAAAGTGAGGCTCATTCATAGCTATCATGAGCCGAAATTTCAAATTTTTAGCTGCAAATTTCACCGTATTTACGTTGAATTTTCTAAAATTGAATCACCAAAAACCCGAATCTGCACACACATACATACAGACACCCCCCCAAAAACATCATTTCTTTACGTTTCATGATGTTGTGGACCATTTGCAACCAAAATTAGAGAATCGAAAAATCGACCAAAAACAATGCTTCCCTTCGGAAGCAAAAANACTACGCAACTTCGTGAGCCATTAAAGAATGACAAACCACAAAATCGTTATATTTTTTCACGTCACTCCCATCGATAATTTGCCAGAAAAATGAAAACAACGTCAATTTTGGCTAAAAGGGTGTCGAACATCCTTAATTTCAGAACCCAACGATTTTTATGTTGAGACGTCAAAGTACTAGATCCCAGACCCAAGGTGCCTTGATTTAAGTATCATGTGTACTGGACATCATTAAAAATTACTGAGATGCTTTTTTCTCTCCGGTTCTCCAGAGAGAAGTTTTCTCAATTCACTTTGAACCAGTAAAACTTTCACAATCCAGAACTTTTTGGTGCTGGATTTCAGTACCAAAAAGGTCACGGAGTATACTAAAATCCAGACAATATATTTCTAAAAAAATTAATGAGAATATTGAGAAATATTGTGAGACCGAAAAGCTCCGCAGCATCAGAAATCTATAAGTTTTAATTCGATAGTCGATAATTTTCTAGTAAAATTTCAAAAGGAAGAGTCAAGAGGTGATTGGTTACCAAGAAGCATCTCCCGGTGGTGGCAATTAGAAATGCAATTTTTGCGATTCTTTCTAACGTTCAAAGTTTAGGAAAACTAACTATCGGAAATTTTTGGAAAGTGAAGAAATGGTCGTGAATGATGAAGATTAATACCAAAATCTAGTACAATGTTTCGAGAATTAAAAAAATTTACAATTATCTCTGGAAAACTGCACAAACCACTAAAAATGAACTGTAACGGTTTTTGGCAATAGTTGAAAAATGTCTCAAGCAAATCTTCAGCGATTTACCTCACACTTATGTCTGATAGTCTTCCGCATCAACCTCTTCGGTTTGTACAACTGCAGCCTCACTTGTTTATTCAGATGACACCTCCTCTCCCGCCCCACTGGTTTCAAAAAGGCCCAGGCGATTTTATACCAGCAATTCTCTGCTCCAAATTGGTCATAGTTCTGGCTAGCCTCAGCAAAACTCAGCAAATCAACAACCTCAAACAAAACTAGTACTTGATCCTTCTCAGTCCCCATTAAAATCTCGAAATCCAGTTCGAATATCAATTCTTCATCCCAATAAGGCACCATCGACTTGTTCTCTTTGAAATCAAAGGTTCCAGTGATCAAGGGCTGGAGGAAAGGACGTCTACTTATTTCAGATCCCTCCAACTTCAAATAATCTCCAGTATTAGCCTCTACAATATGAACGATTACCATTGGATGTCTTGTAACATAATCAGCCTCTAACATATCAGCTTTATGAATTTTCACAGAAGTGAATTTCATTTCCTCTTTCTTCTCCTTTTTCTTCTTTGGTTTCTTCAGTTTTTTCGATGATTTTTCCTTATTCGAAAGGATTGTATCTTCAGAATATCGGGTTGTGGACAGAGACTCTCTCTTCTGCTTTATTTTCCGTATTTTTGGCGTTGATTCTACCTCCTCTGAAGAAACTTGTTCTTCACCTTGTGTTTCTCGTTTTGCTCTTCTTGGCGGTTTTCTCGATCCTGGAAGATCTGATAATAAACGCTCAGAATCACCAGTCTGATTATAATCCCCTGACTCACTCGATCTCGAAGACTTCTTGTCATTCCTCTCAGTTCTCGTTCTCGCCTTCGATTTTGCTTTCTTTTGTCGCTTCTTAGATAAAAGACTGTCTTCAGAGTGATCGATTGACGGATTTTCCGATACAAATGACTTTACTCTCCTTGGCATTTGTTCAATAATATCTTCAACTTTAGACCCCTCAGACTGTGAAGATGATTTCCTATAGAGTTTTGTGAATTTCGTAATTTGTGTGATTTTTGATTTCAAGATCTGTGGAGAAGAGTCTAATGAGTCTGTAGTATTTTCCACCGATCTCATCTCTATTTTCGTTTGCTCTGTGACTCCGTGACTAGTCTCGATCCTCAAGACTTGATCATCGTCATGATCAGATTCGAATGCAGCATTGTCAAGCCCTGCATCAGAATCTTCTTCTTGTAAATTAATTATTTTGTTTATTCTAGGTGCTAGGACTGGTACCACTGTGTCTTCGTCATGCAGAGATCTCCAGGGGCTGCTTCGTGCTGATGTAGATGAGAATGAAGTCCTTGAAGGTAACTTTATGACACTGGCTTCTTTAGACCATCGTTTCCGTTGTTTTTTCACTGAATCTACTGAATTCACGAATGAATCTTGTTCATGCACTTTCGAATCATCCTTGATGGGTGATTTGTCCAGTTCGGTTTCTGATAAACTTTCAATTGTCTCTTCTTCAGTCATGTTTGCATTGTCTTTGTCATTTTTGTTAGGATTTTCGCAGTGAATATCTACAACTACGTCCATAGAATTCGGTTCCAATTCGTTTGAATGAACGTGTTGAGATCTTTTCAATTGATGGCGTTTTCGAGTAGTTGATTTAGATTGTTGCTTCTCTTTTTCGTTTTTCTCTTCACTCAGTTTCGATATTTTGTCGATTTTCACTAGGTTTGTTCGAGAGCCTGTATCGAGGTCTGAGGAGACATCGGAACTGTCCAGGTTCTGACTCTTTTCGACGGATATCTGGGTTTTTCTCATTGGGGAGAAGACGGCTTCGATTTTCGGTGCCTCTTCGATATCTGAGTCGACCGATTTTTGTGGTTGTTTTGATTGGCTGGAGATGTTTGAGTCTTTTTTAAAAGCTGCACGGAACATTCGTTCCACCTTGTTGCTGAATTCACTGAGCTTACCCCGCCGGGTCGACTCTTCATCTTCTTCACTAGGGTTACGAGATTTACGCAACATGATTAGAGAGAATAATGGAAGAAGTTTTTTAGTTTTAGCAAGAAGAGTTTTAATTAATTGAATGATTTTTGGTTTTAGATTTTGCTTTTATTTCAGGTTTCGTTGAATTGTTGGGGGTAGTTATACATGGGAGAGGGGTTTATGTACTGCGACCATGTGCGCCACTAGTGCGACCGATACTGGCAGGTGCTCACCACCACTGGTCTACGGTAGCGTGACTGCATGACAACGTCGATCGATATTTCCATGACATCAGCAGTTAACTTTGCATTCGAGTAAAACGTCAGATCTGAAGTTTTCATTCTATAATAACATGAAATCATGTTAGTCGAATGAAACATTCGTCCATTTTATACTTATCTGGAAAACGAATCGTTTTAGGGCAAAATGTTACAAGACTTTTTTTGCAGAGGGAATTTCCTATTCGAAATGTCCCTTGAGGCGCACACAAAAAAATTTCTTTTGGAATTGGAATTTCACCATTTTACACTGTTAACAATTTCTTGAAATTTCAGTCACAATGTCATCTGAATTTTCAATGTTGTGAGTTTGAATTCAATTTTAAATGAAAACGTTCACAAAAAGAAAACGTTATCAAAAAGAAAAATTTCATTTGTAGTAAATGGCAAAAAAATCGCGATCCCTACTTTAAATCCTGGTTTAACTCCCTAAATAAAGAAGTTAATGCCAAAATTAACACCTGGAAACAAGATAATTGGGATAACAAACTTAAAAACTTAAACCTGAGAGATTACTCCATCTGGCCTGTCGCAAAATCTTTCAATAACTCAGGAAAATCCAAGATCCCCACCCTTATTTCAGGGAATAATTTTTTCTCAAATGACCTCCAAAAAGCTAATAGTTTATGTCTCCACTATGCCAAAATTCATGAAGATGCTGCAGCCAGAGGTAATAAATCCTTCGAGGATCACGTCTCTGCTACAGTTAAAAAATCCATCCAAAACTACCCGATAGAAACTCTAAACCACCTTCTTACCAGTCCTCATGAAGTATCCCAATTAATAAATAAACTCAAAAACAAATCAGCTCCCGGTATTGACAACATCCCTAACGTTGCCCTAAAAAACCTCCCCCAAAAGCCTTGGTGTTCATCACCAAAATTTTCAACGCCTGTCTCTTGCTCTACTATTTTCCAGACTCGTGGAAATGTGCTGTAGTGATTCCCATCCCCAAACCCGCCAAACCCCCATCACTCCCAGTGAGCTATAGACCTGTCAGCCTTCTCCCTGTACTTGCCAAACTATTGGAGAGAATTATTTTAATTAGACTAAACAAATATGTCAGGATTCGTAACATCATCCCCAAGGAACAGTTTGGGTTCAGATCCAGCCACTCTACCTGCCACCAGCTAATGAGAATTACAAATGACATTAAAAATGCTAAAAATAAGAAGGAAAACACAGTTTCGCTGCTCTTAGATAGCGAGAAGGCCTTTGATTCTGTCTGGAGAACGGGCCTCATTTACAAATTATCCTTATTAAACTTTCCAGTTTATTTAACAAAAATCCTACTCTCGTATCTGACAAACAGATTCATTGAAGTCAGAGTAGAGGCAGCGTTGTCTGACAAAATCAAGATCTCAGCAGGTGTCCCTCAGGGGTCAATCCTCTCTCCTGTTCTTTTTAATATTTATATAGCCTCTCTCTTCAATAGGATTCCCTTAAATGTAAATATCGCCGGTTACGCGGATGACATTGCTCTCTATGCAGCGAGCGCATCGGTGAACAAGGCCATTAGAAGAATCGAAAACGCCGCCTCGATGGTCGTAAACGAACTTACAAAATGGAAAATAAATGTTAATGCGGCCAATACAGAGGCAATTATATTTTCAAATAAAAAACAAAACCTCACGCTAAATATCAGGAAAAATAAGATCATTCCATCCAATTGCGTGAAATACCTTGGCCTACATATAGATTCCAAGCTCCTTTGGAAAAACCAATGCCATGAACTCCAAAGCAAAAATATTCCTAATTCGTTTCTACAACCTCTTTAAATCACCAGCCCTGAGCCAAAGTCTAAAACTAACCTTATACAAAGGCCTAATCAGACCTATCATGACCTACCCGAGTGGAAATTCCGATCAGGTCTTGATCAAGTTTGGATCAGGTTAGACCTGACCACTGATCAGGTATTGATCAAGTTGACGGATCCGATCTTGATCAGACGTGTTACGCCTCTGACCAATCCGAACTTGATCAGGATGAATGGATCCGAACTTGATCAAGTCTACTGTATGAAAACCGGATGACCTGTCTGTTAGTATCAATAACAATTATCAATGATAATTAATCCAAAGTAAAAGATAATTCAATTCTTTCACCGTAGGCCGCCTCTCTTAATGAATCTCTACTGTTACTACCTCTGAAAAAGCTTATTATTTTTTTACCGATGCTGGGGATCGAACCGGGGATCCTATGATTGCTAATCCTATGCCCTAACCACTACGATATGGCGCTATTACTATTGAGTAAACTGTACATTGCCTATATGTTTTGTTCGGGGTATTCGTTGAATTTACAATTATTCCTGATCTCGTGGATGTGTATGTGTATTCTCAGAGATAAAATATATTCAATTAAATTTTTATCCATTTCATCAATAAATAATAATAATAATGATAATAACAATAACACAAATAAATAAATAGACATTTGGTGATTTTTTTTCTGAAGATCATTTGCGTGTAAGTTTGATACTCCTCTAATACGTATTTACGGCATCATTATTCCTCCCTTCTGTACATTTGAAAAGGGCTGGCTGTTAATTAAATTGATTAATTAAAATAAATTCATTAAATTAAATTAATTTTATTTAATTTATTTTAATTATAGTAATTGGGTGGTGCCAGATGGTATGACCGTTGTGGTCTTTTACCTACCCGTCTCAGTACCTACCCGGTACCCAGCCTAATTCCCTACCCGCACTTGCCTCTAAGCTAACTTATATCTAACTCCACATAACTAACTCCACATGCACTGGGTTCGTTTTCCGGCGATGAAAAAATCTTTCATCACCGGGACTCGAACCTGCGCTACTGGGACGCTTTGGTTTATAGGGCCAGCACGCTGACGAGCCCAAAGACGTCCTCTATTTTAATTATAGTATAATGATTCTCTTTAAAGATTGAAAATAATTATTGATAATGGTTGATAAAACTTACTTTGAATAGTATAATAATAGTTAATTAAATTATCCGAAAAACTTATTAAAATTAATGTCAGGTGGACCGGATCTGAATCTGATCATTTTCTCTTCAATTGACCCCGTTCAAATGCCGATCAAAGACATCAAATCGGAATTTGATCAAATTGGGGTCAGGCAGCCGACCTCAGGGTGAGATCGTGCCTACCTGATCAACTGGATGAAAACTTGGTCAGGTTCTCATCAGGCATCATCTGATCATGTCTACATGATCAGAACTTGATCTGAACCCGCCTGTAGTTTTTCGGATCCGATCTGCTGGATCAGAATTCGGTCAGGTTTTCATCAGGAATCACCGGATCAGTCGGACCTTACAAAAACCTGATCAAGTTCTGATCGTGCTTTAGGTGCGCCTGAAGCAATTTCCACTCGGGGTGTCTTACATATAACCGTAACATTACAATATTGATGATAAATTGTGAGATTCCATTTAAGTAGGTGATCTCATTTCTTGATTTTCAGTTCAATGAATGAAAGAAATTCTCTGAACACTAGAGGAGTTCCATCGTCATTTGTAAATTATAAAATGTTGAATTAATATAAAGGTCAGAAAATAAATGTCAAGCAGTGAGAGACAGAATATAAAGTCATCTTTACGTTCTGACTCTGCCTCTTCCTGACCCATTTCCCGGCTCTCATTACCTGACTCTTATTTTATGACCCTCACTCTTTGACTTTCATCTTCTGACACTTATTGCCCGACTCATATTAAACTTAACAGGGCTTGGTACAACCGACAAACAAAGAATATACCCTTGAATTCAAATACCCATTCGTATTAGATTCAAATATATTATTCTCGTTTCAAGAATAAAATATACCGATTACATATTATTAATAATTCAAGTATACAAGATACTTGATTGAGGTATACTATTCTCCGATTCAGGTACGTTTTATACTCGAAACAGAAATAATATACCTGAATCAAGTATATTTTATATTCCAATCGGGAATAATACACGAGATTCCTATATACTTTATACTGGGATGGGTGCAACTGAACACAGTCAACTGACCACATTTGCAACTGGCTACAAGTTTTTCAATTCCGGCAATTGGCCACAACATCAAATACTAGATGGTGATCCGTCACCGTTATTTGGACTTAGTCTTCTTTATCAACGGAATCGTTCGACCCTTATGTTTAAGAGATGGCGTTGATATGTCTAAAATTATAAAACATCAGCAGATCATTAAATAAACATTGCCCCTGTAACTGAGCCACCATTGATTGAAAAACATCGCAGAAACCTCGTACAATGATCGGATAAAGATCCAACAATACTTATCGTACTGTGCTCTCCACAATTATCAGACATAAAATATTACCATATCATCGAATAAACATCCCTTTTTTTATTTGAACCGTTACTCCTAGGAAAATATCGCAGAAACCTCGTACAATGATCGGATAAAGATCCAACAATACTTATCGTACTGTGCTCTCCACAATTATCAGACATAAAATATTACCATATCATCGAATAAACATCCCTTTTTTTATTTGAACCGTTACTCCTAGGAAAATATCGCAGAAACCTCGTACAATGATCGGATAAAGATCCAACAATACTTATCGTACTGTGCTCTCCACAATTATCAGACATAAAATATTACCATATCATCGAATAAACATCCCTTTTTTTATTTGAACCGTTACTCCTAGGAAAATATCGCAGAAACCTCGTACAATAATCGTAGACAGATCTAACAATAATTATCGTACTACACTCCACAATTATCAGGCATAAAACATCACTATATCATTGAAT